GCGCCAAGTTGCCCAGGCAGGTCTTGAACCCACAGGCTCAGGCAATCCACTCACCTCAGCCTCCCAAGGCACAGGATTACAGGCTGAGCCACCGAGCCCGGCTCGCTGCCTGTTTCTGAATCATAATCAATGTATATTACCTAATGTGGCCTCCTGGGATACCAGCTCTAGCTGAGGTCCCTACTTTCTGGTTCGGAACCCAAACACCCTCCACCCAGCTGTTCCTGGGTATCATGGTTGGAAGAAAATAGGATTAAAGGCTGCATTAGTCTTAACACCAGCTCATCCTCCCTGGGGGATGAAGGGAAGAGGATTATGGCAGATCCACTTAAGGAGTGCTCAGCAGCTGTTGCTGGGGAAAGGGGTTAGGGGGTAGGAGGAGCCAGGTGTGCCCAGAGGCTAGGAGGCCTAAGTTCTGCTTCCAGCCTTGTGGATAATTTACTAGGAGACCACAGAGAAATGAGTGCTTGTTTACAGGCCCGTTTCCTCATCTGTACACCGGGGGAGTTGGTGTCTTCTTCTTTTTTTTTTTTTGAGTTGGAGTCTCACTCTGTCGCCCAGACTGGAGTGTAGTGGCCACTCCCGGCCACCGCAGCCTCAACCTGCTGGGCTCCGGTGATCCTTCCACCTCAGCCTTCCAAGTAGCTGGAACTACAGGCGCACACTACCACGCCTGGCTAATTTTATATTTATTGTAGAGATGAGGTCTCATCAAGTTGCCCAGGCGGGTCTCGAACCCGCGGACTCAGGCAATCCACTCACCTCGGCCTCCCAAAGTGCTGAGATTACAGACTGAGCCACCGAGCCCGGCCTGGTGTCTTCTAAGTTATGACTGGGATGGAGGACGATGGAGCTGAGCTGAGCCCGGAGGGTCCTGGGGGAAAATACAGAGGCCCGAGGCCCCTTATTCCAGGAAAAGGGCTGTACGAGGTCTGACAATTAAGTTTGCCAGTTTGCCACCATGCGCTTATGTTGGCAGCACTGTACACACAACTTGGTAAGGTTTCATAACCTTGGTATGTCAGTGCCTCACAGCTGTGTTCATGTCGCTATATGGCGGTGTCTTGCTGAGTGGCGTTCATTATTGTTGTATGCTTTTATGTGCTATTGTGAGAATGTTAGAGCTTGAGTTAGAACAACAAACAAAGAGTTTTTTTGTTAGACTTGGCAAGAGTGGAAGTGAAATCAGGGACATGTTAGTCTAAGTTTATAGGGATAATGCTATGAAGAAAATGGCAGTATACAAATGGATTAAATGTTTCTCTGAGGAGAGAGAAAGTGTTATTGATGAAGAGAGATCAGGATAGTCAGTATCGAGCAGAACTAACTAAAATATTGCAAAAATTGGTCAAATTGTGTGTCAAAATCGTTGGCTGACTGTGAGACGCATAGCAGACCAAATAAACATTGATAGAGAGACAGGAAAATCTTGGCATGAGAAAAGTGTGTGCAAAAATGGTCCTGAAGGAGCTCTTGCATCACGACCATGCACCAGCTCACACAGCACTGTCTGTGAGGGGGTTTTTAGCCAGTAAACAAATAACTGTATTGGAACATTCGCCCTATTCACCTGATCTGGCCCCTAATGACTTTTTTCTTTACTGAAGATAAAGGAAATACTGAAAGGAAGACTTTTTTTTTTGAGTTGGTGTCTCACTTTGTTACCCAGGTTGGATTGCAGTGGCATGCTCACAGCCACTGCAGCCTTGACCAGCCGGGCTCAGGTGATCCTTCCGCCTCAGCCTTCCAAATAGCTGGAACCACAGGCGCATGTCGCCACGCCCAGCTAATTTTTTGATTGGTCTTAGAGACAAGGTCTTACCCAGTTGCCCAGGCTCATCTCAAACCCCTGGACTCAGGCGATCCTCCCACCTCTGCCTCCCAACGTGCTGGGATTACAGGCCTGAGCCACAGTGCCCAGCTGAAAGGAAGACATTTTGATGACATTCAGGACATCAAGGACAATATGACAATAGCTCTGATGGACATTCCAAAAAGAGTTCCAAAATTGCTTTGATGGTAGACTAGGTGCTGGTGTAAGTGCATAGCTTCCCAAGGGGAGGGAGTACTTCGAAGGTGGCCATAGTGATATTCAGCAATGAGGTATGCAGCACTTTTTCTAGGAAGAATTCGTGAACTTAATTGTCAGACCTCGTAGAAGCAGCTTATCTGGTTGACCCAGGGAGGGCACAGGAGCCCCTGGGATAAATGACAAGGGCCACATCCTTAGAACCAGCACCCTCTGCTGAAGGCCCTGCCTTAGTCTACATGCTGCCCTCCTTCCCCACTGTCCCTATAGCCAGTCTTCTAATGTACTATGTGATGTGTCCTGTCTGTCCCCTGCTCAAGAACTTTCTATGGCTTACATCACACCATGCAAGTTCCTAGGCCCTTCTAGGTTGCTCCAAATCCTACCAATCCTTCACTTGAGCTTCAGTTTCCCCAGGAAGCGCTTCCTGCATCTACCCTTTGGGTTTTGGCCTCAATCCCACACCCCATCATTCTACCCTCAGCTAGGATATTTCACTTTTTCCACTAAACCCTGGGGCTTGATGGTGAGTTAAAGGGCTTGAGTTCTGACCTTCCTGATGACTTGAATTCCTCCCAGTTTCCAAGGGATCCCTCCCTATCACTAGATGAGCCACTCACTACCTTCTTTCCAGACCATCTCTGGAGAGTCTGCCTGATAAAGTTTCTCCTTAATAAAAAGGATGGTGTGCACCGACTGAGCACTTGCCAAATGCCAGGCAAACTCCTAAACTCCTTATATGCATTATCTCACTTTCCCTTCATGGCAACAGCATGAGAAAAATTCCATTATTCCCATTTCACAGATAAGGGAACTGAGGTCCTAAAAACTGGTAGAGTCTTTGAGGCAGGGTAGTGAGAACAGATTAGGCATAGATAGAGAAATTTTTTGTAGGCAGGTTTTAGGTTTTCAGATATTTTTCTTTTTTTTTTTTTTGAGTTGGAGTCTCACTCTGTCACCCAGACTGGAGTGCAGTGGCTGCTCCCGGCCACAGCAGCCTCGACCTGCTGGGCTCCGGTGATCCTTCCGCCTCAGCCTTCCAAGTAGCTGGAACTACAGGCGCGTGCTGCCACGCCCAGCTAGTTTTTGATTTGTTGTGGAGATGAGGTCTCGCCAAGTTGCCCAAGTAGGTCTTGAACCCACGGGCTCAAGCAATCCATTCACCTCAGCCTTCCAAAGCGCAGGATAACAGGCTGAGCCACCGAGCCCGGCTCAGATATTTTTCTTATTACATTTTTAGTGCAGGCCAGGCTGGCAGAAATGCAGACCTGCCAGCCTACCCCACTCCCTTGGTCAATTAAAAGAAAATCCCTTTAGATGTAAGAATAGGACAGCCCAACCTTTCAGTTGTTGAAGGTGGAGAGCTGAATACTACCCCTTAACTAACCATAGAAATGGTAATAAGACCACTGTTTAGCTCCTGAACTTGTGTATTGAAAAGTCTGAGCTGGGGGGTGTGGTGGCTCATGCCTGTAATCCCAGCACTTTGGGAGGCGGAGGCCAGAGAATTGCCTGAGCCCAGGGGTTCGAGACCAGCCTGGGCAACTTGGCGAGACCTCATCTCTACAATAATAAAAAAAAAATTAGCTGGGTGCCTGTTGTTCCAGATACTTGAAAGGTTGAAGCAGAAGGATCTCCCGAGCCCAGCAGGTCGAGGCTGTGGTGGCCGTCAGTGTGCCACTGCACTCCAGCCTGGGCAACAGAATGAGACTCCAACTCAAAAAAGCCTGGCGAGTCTTCCAGGAAAAGACCACGCCTCCTCCCATCAGAGGTGCA